CGTACTGTATATTGCCAGAACGGTGAGCAGGTGAGCAGAACGGTACTTACCTTACGCCTTCAGCTCGTCAGTCGTGGTCCACCAGGCAACTGGCATGCAGAAGTATGTGCACGAGCAATCCTAGCGTATTCGCAAGTTGCACCTTGGAACCATGAAGATTGGGAAGAGGTACAGCCCCGGTCAGTCACCGAAGATTGCAGCGCATGCCGTCGAATGGAGGAGAGTTATCTCGCCGGCTAGATCGATAGGCAAAGGCAAAGTGTGTGAAAATGTGTAAAAATCTGGAGATAAAAAGAAGCGCGTAGAAAGCCGCGCATGCGCACTTACAGGACGTACGAACAGTCGGATCAACTGGAGTGTACGGACCCGACGCGTAGCGACTTCCGGCCAAGCCCAAAATCACTCCACGCGATGCGCGCTTACTAATTAAAAATGCCGATTTTGGTAAAAGTGCCGCGTTCAGAAGTTATGGCATGAAAACCAAGTGAACAAGCCAATATGCAAATTAGCACAGGCTTACCTCGACCGGGTCCGCTTGCTCTGTGTACCTTGGAGGCACAAGAAGTCACAACGAAGGGCGTTTATCGACTCTCTACTACTGTAGCTAGCCCGTGGCTACTCCGCGAGTAAACGCATACTACAAATAGCCCAGCCCCATCAATTAGCGGTACCGCGCATGCGCGGTTCGCCGAGGGTTTACACTTTAGTGCTTTTCATTATACCTGCAATTGATAAAGGTGTCGCCAATGCTCTTGTGTATCTGCTCTTGGTTTAGCTCCTGGCGTGGTTGGAAGACGTGGTAGTTGCTCGCTCGTGTTGGATATCCCTCGTGTTTACATGCGGCTTTGTTTACTAACGCGCACGCTTCCTTTGTACTCACATGACTTCCGGGTGCCACGCCCACTCATTTGCGAGCGCTGAATCCAAGGTGCGGATGCAATCTAGGCAGTTTTTCTCTTGACAGAGTGAAGGAGGCACCTTAGAAGATCAAAAATCTTGGTGGAACCACAACTGTTTTTTTTGCTAGCAGCTTGTGAATAGGAGTGCCTAAGCTTGCGACTTTTTTCTTCCAGCGAAGCGTTTAGCATCTGGCCTTGACTTTCCACTCCCGTCTACTACCATTTCACTCAATCCAAGGTACGTCAGGCTATTCAAATGTTCCAATTGCTGCACAAATACAGCAAGCTATGAGCAGTAGACAGTGGATAGCATTAGGCCAAGCCACGCACCAAATTGTTGTAGCCTAGCTACTCCACAGATACCTTTGTAGAATTTCGTCAAGAAAATCCGAGAACTTGTGCTTTGTGTCGGTTCTACAACGGTTTCTTGCACAGGAGCACTTTTCGATAGCCTGTTTGTCTTGAGACTTGGTAACGGTGTTTTGCAGGGACGTGGGCACGAGGGCGAGTACCAGCCCATGTCTTCAGACTTTCCTCTCTCTTTAGTAAACCATATCGCATACAACATAGGAACGCGGGTTTTTGTCATGTGGTTCTTACGTCACTACGCAAGCTTGTCCTACCCCAGAGGAGGTCGGACATGCGCAGGGATTGCGTCATTGTAAATGACATTTATGCTGACACAGCAATTTATTTCCCGTAAAGAATGTATGGGGAGATAAAAGAGCGTGCTGTAGCAAAACCAAGCGGAATTCGGAGAGGATTTGCAACTGAATCGATGTAATATGTAAGAAAGATACTGAAAATCCTATTATCCCCAGCGATCCCCTACCGCTCGGCAAGATAATTATAGTGAAGAATATTAATAACTCTGTCACACTCACAGCGTGAGCCCTAGAGCTAAGCTAAATGCACAGTACCTTACTTTGATCCTTTTTACAACTCTCCGTGTGGCTTCAAGCGAATGCTCCGTCTGTTTTGTCAAAAAACTAAGCATAGGTCGAGCATGTCGTCGACGGTCGTGCATTCCTCAACGCGCTAATTGAAATTCTGGTACTATTCACGTGACCATGTCCGACCTCCTCTGGTCCTCCCGAAGACTGGGACGCGATCTGCGACCACTTCTCGACTCTCCTATTGCGGGGACCGGTCGGGGTTAGACCGCCAGTGCCACCACAACTGGAGCGGTTGTTCGCCGACCTAGAAAATATTCCAAGTTGTGTCAACCTCTTCACCAATGGTGCAGGGAAATCTCTCATGCATGAGCTACTGATACTGCCTCGCACCAGGGGTAACCTCTACCACGTTCGGACTTCCACCACCCCCAATCCTTACAGCGACTGGTGCGGATTTGTTTCAGACCAACTTACAGGGGTGGCCGACATCGTGGTCGGCAGTGGAAAGCAGCCAGTGGTGGTGATGGGGCCTATCAATGTGTGAGTGCGATGCAGGTCCTAAAGGGGAAACACGATGTCTGGCCTCTTGGTAAGTCATCAGTGCCATCTGTGCCATGCTAAGTGAGAGTATATACTGTGCCATAGCGCAGTGGTTTGAGGTTTGCCTTGTGTTGTGTTGTAGATTGGAACCCCTACCAGCTGGTAGCTCAGTTGGTAGAACGCTTGCCTAGACTGCAGAGTTGTGGGTTTGAATCCCGGTGTAGTTGATTTGTTTGTTGTGCCTTTGCCTTTCTGTGCCTTTGCCTTTCTACCTTTCACATGCGTTTCCAAATATGCCCCCCACACTTGTGAAATTAGAGTAAACTTATAAGATTTTGGTAGTGTCAACAACACACTTTATCTTACTGTCATCTGTTGCTCAGGGTTTGTCGCCAATTCACAGATGGCTACAGTAATCCATCCTGTCCAGAGGGAGGGAGATAAGACAGTGATGCTCCATGTCTTCGAATACAGGATGAAACACCTGGATGACGTTCTGTCATTCGTGGAGCATGTACACGGCCACATAATGGTGACTTCTGAAGGCTCTGTACCACATTCACTGCAGCCACAGTCACCACCACCTGAGCTTCTTGTTGAAATGCAAAAAATGGTGAAAGACAAAATGGAGGCTGCTCTCTCTCCACTGCTGGAGGCGCTGAAAGTCAGGGATGGGGATGATAACTGATACTCGTGACCCCTCATTGTACTGTATATACTTCAAATTGAAAAAAAACAACAGTTTGAGCGTTGCGAAGTGCAGGCGTTCAGTAATTCTTAATGCAGGGCTCCAAGGAAGAAAAGTGCAGTGGCTTCACACAGGAAATAAGCTGGAGTTTTTGGCCTAAGCACACAGAACCATCTCAATGTAGTGTGAGTGTTGGAGTTCATCATTCTAGAAACTAATTAGATTCACATCACCACAGTCATGCAAGCTTGGAACAGGGAAGTATACTCCTCACCTTATGAAATCAGTGCATGTTAGGTGTATCAGACCTTCTTCATCTCCACCATGGGCCCACGACAGAAATGTTTTGAGATGCTGTGGGTTTGCCTTCCCGAAGCTCCCCGGGAAGCAGCCCAACAAACAGTGTGTAGTGAAGGTAGAGGTGAGACGGGAGAACCTTCACTTTCGGTGCTCCCTCACACAATTTGAGCACATCCTGGAGGCAAGGGAAGCCATCGTGGAGGGGTTGAAGAAAGCTAAGTGGTTCGACAGCACTGAACCTTCTCTATCAACGTAATTGCAAGGGTGTGTAGGGTACTCGTACTCTAGTTCGGAGTGGTTCACCTGCATCGAACCTCCTCGAACCTTCTTGAACCACTTCAATGCGGAGAAAACAAAGTGTGTAGTGGTCATTCACATGAGTTCAATGTGGTTCAACTGTACTGAACCTTCTCTACGAACATGTACGGAAGGGGAACGAGGTGTGTAGGATACTTGTATATAGGTCAAACTGCATCGAACCTTCTAGAACCACTTCAACCAACAGTCAGACCAGCTGCGTACGTTAGGGTTAGCTTCAGGACGCGCGCTGTTAGATCGGTGAGTGGCAACACTTATATCCATGCCAATACAGCTGCTCCTTGCTCCCTTGTTGACCCCCACCGAGCGTGGAGATCTCCTATATACCTGAGCGTGGAGATCGATCCTAGCAACAACTCACCCAGGTTCACACATAACCCGAGTGTGGAGAAACTCCTAGCAACAACTCACTCGTGCTGGAACACTCAAAAGCGCAATACACATTTTACACATCACATTTGAGTACAGGGGCATGACCTTTGAACTGCTACATAAGAGGTATTACTCAGTCAGGCATGTTCACTGCATTCGCTAACCATTCATTTTTACATTGGAAAATCACATTGAAAAGTCCGAGCGTGGAGATATCCTAGCAACAGATCACCCAGGTGCAAACATACCTTAGCGTGTGGAGATCTCCTAGCAACAGCTCACTTGGGTTCACACATAACCCGAGTGTGGAGAAACTCCTAGCAACAGCTCACTCGGGCAACTCAACCGTGGTGATGCACACTGTACACTTCTAATAAGTGCTCACCCAGCCAGTATCGCACATCACCTTCTTTCGTGGTGATTTTTTTCCTTTTTGGTGGCAGTAGGCAATTGTAACATACATATACCTGTATGTGACTTGTATTGGTTCCTCTGCATGCTCTACATGATAGATCGACAGCCTGTGATAATTTCTGCACTTTACCTTTCTATTCACAGTGTGTTTGTTGATGTAAATGTTTCATATACACTCTGCAAATCATCGCTGTATATAATATACTAGTGGTCTTCTTCATCATTGAACAGTGGTTTATTTTTTCTATTATCTCTTGGTTCCATCACCATGCTGATGCACATTTTACACTTCTACTAGGTGCCCACCCGGCCATTAGCCCACATTCATTACCTTCTTTCATGATCATTTTTCATTATGTTGGCTGTAGGCAATATTGTAATGTACCTGTATGTAAGTGACCCCATGTACAGTTTATATGCAACCCCACCACGCAGTAGTGCATGTAGAACCCTAATAAACAGGGCCTGCATGACAACCAGCTTCCAGTTCTGTAGCAGTGTATACAAAGGCCTGTGGCAATTTCTGAACTTTTTCACAGTTTGTTGATGTGATGTTTCATATACACTCTGCAGGTTCCCTCATTTCTAGAGAAGCTTCTACTGAACTGGTGGAGAGAAACAATCATCGCAGCCGTTCCGAATGTACTGGTGGTGTTCTATCATCATAATGAACCGGTGAGCGTCTGTTATTTTTGTTATTGCATTTCTATTGTTTCTTTCTCTAACAACTATGCTGATAAACACTGTACACTTCTAATAAGTGCTCACCCAGCCAGTATTGCGCATTACCTTCTTTCGTACATGTATTATACAAGTGGGATGTTACTATATTGTACATACCTCCCAGGTTCGTCAAGAACCAATGTTTTGCGTCTGTGACCCAAAGCAGAATGGAATGGACGGAAGTACCAGATTTTGCTATTGTGATTTGTATGCCTTGACCCACCAACCAATGACCATGTTTTGACATTTTTAATTTATCACATTTTTGTATGTGTGCTGATGTTTCAATCGTTTCATGTAAGCGAGATAGTTTTTCTTGGACAGAAATGATGAAAATTTAAACTGGCAATAGGTACATAGTACACAACTGGCAATAGGTAGTGTATACACAACTGGCAATAGGCAGTACACAACTGGCAATAGGCAGTACAATATTCAAATGGTCAGAGCTTTTACCCCCTCTACTATTTCATGGGTATCCCGCTCCAGTTCCTCTTGCTCCTGCATCCTCAGCTCCCGGTCCTGCCTCTCTAGGGTTTGCAACCTCCTATATACCTTAAGGTTACTATTAATTGTGGGAATTAATTTTAGCGTTTTTGCACTGAGTGTTTTGGCGTATACTAATTTTAGCAATTTTGTGTCTCAATAATTATTATTGTAATAACAATAAGTGTATGCACAATAATGTACGATGATGACAATTGATAATGATCTCACCCAGTGCAAGCAAGACCAATGCCTATGTGTTTTAGTCTGAAGTTGCCAAAGATGTCAAATTACCTAACACAGGCAATACGTCTCCCTCTTCCTCTAATCAATACACATCTCACCTGGTATTAATTAAGAAGCCATGAGAGTACAAGTGGATTACTGAATAATAGTTAGACGCTGATTCGAGGTAACTACGCGCAGTAGGGCCCCGGCATTGTGGCGCCCCCAGCGAAGCGAGGGCGCTACCCCCGAGGCACACCGTACATGTAAACAACTACATTGGCGCGTCGTCCACACGCACGCGCAGACCCCCCTGCACGCACACAACCAGAAAAAGAAGGCGGAGTCGCTCCAACGTGTCTTTCGCTCTTCTTGGCCAGTATAGCGCTGAACCTGTTGGTGTCGATTTTTGGCCGGTTCGTCGCGCGTGGTGGCAGAAAACGTGGTAACAGACAGACAGACTGACACGCACACATACAAAGTTCCGTAACCCTCGCACGAGGGCTAATAAACAGAAAAATCTGCCGTTGTTACGACTAGGTTGGCTTGCTCCCACTCGCCAATTACATATTGCACAATAGTTTGTTACAACAAGGGTTGCGACGATGTTCGCACTAAGGGCATTCAAAGTGTTTTACAGAGACCGTTTATCATCCCAGCAAAAAATATCACAGCAGTGTATATAACAATTAAGTTACATGAGTATAATAATACAGATGCCATTAACTGGTGCTTTATGATTGTGCATGAGGTGCAAGGGAGAGAGAGAATTTCGATTTCGCGGTATCTTTCATCCCTTCACTGTAATAAATGCCTCCATGATGTGACTGACCGGGTGTCAACCTCTCCCATTTCGAGCATTTTCATACACCGCACCCAGAGGAGTTTGGACACACCTCATAGATGAAATGGAATATTTGCTGATCCAGCAATCTTTACCTCCGTAGAGAATGTATGGCAGATACAAAATGCCTCGCTGAATCAAAGTCAAGCCAAGATCAGAGATTGTTTTATAATTCTGAAGCCTTACAACATCAAAGGAAAAGTACTATATACTACAAATCTGGTAGATAGTGCATTGCACACTATCAGTTATGATAACATAGCAATAGTAGCGTAGGAAGATTTTTGGACAAAAGGGGGGCTCCACACGCATGCGTCAAGAGCACGTAGGCGCTGCCATTCCCACTGATTTTCTACACGCGAGCCCGAGAAAATATAGGGGGGTGCCAGCCCCCCGAAACCCCCGTGGTTCCTATGCCACTGCATAGGATAGTAGTTAGGTGGGTCATGGACAACACACTTACAGAAAATAGAGAACAGTTACAGGATAATAGAGAACAGTTTGGATAAAGGACTACAAACAAGTTAAATTGTAGGTATTGATGTGCCTTGTGCTGATGAGAGGCTTGCACGCTATTAGGACTTAGCTACTATATAATTATGCGCAGTGCCAGCTCTCATAGTAATCATGCCCACTTGCCAAGATTCTGTCTCCACATGTGAGCTGCGATACATACTGTTACTGCATATGAGGTGAAGGAGGTCATGTTATGAGGTTTCACTCTGTGCAAAATGTGGGCCCTATACGATAGTAACCTCAAACAAGAAGTAATAAAAAAACAATTCTTTCACATTCTATGTTAATTTTATAGTACCACCGACAATTCAATTTCTCGTCCCTAAGATTCAACCAAGTTCAGCAGTTGTTTCCGCAAATATTTTCTCTAGAGGCATTTTGGGAGGAACACCCTTTGTATAGCTACATTCGAACCATCTCCATCTCAATGTTCCCAGAGAGCTCAGCTGCAATATTGAGGCCATCTGGATTAAAACCACTGCCATAAGGTATGTCCACTGTTAGAGTTGCTGTGGGATCTTGTGCTGCAACCTTGTCAATCATGGTGCGATAAAGATTTTTGGCAATTACAGAATCATTGGCAAACACTGGGCCTATTTTCCAGCCGTCTTTTTTCTTAAATAGACTTCGGACAACAGCATACCCCGCTACTTGTCCCTCTTGGTTTAGTGCTGCATAGCTATAGCAATTTGGGGCGGAGATCCACTTTTCTAGAAATGACGCGCGGGCATAAAATATGCACAGACGTGTCGTATTCTAATAATTCCTTGAATGGGACTTGAACTGCAGGTTTAATTACCACTTCATTAGGGACGAAACGTTGCAACAATTCTTTGGATACTTTTAAAGTAGTGCGTCTGACTCTCCACTCTGGCTTAAAACCATAACGCCCGTACTTTTGGGTCATTTCCTCTACTGCGCCCAGTGCACAATTACAGCCCTCGGGTACAGAGCAAAATGAATAATTCCAGGTAGTTAGCCCATAACCCTTCCCACGGTATGCTTTGTCTACGATATATAGCCCTACGAAGGCATAATTTTTAGAATATTTGACGACAGAAATGCAGCTGATAACCTTTCCGTCTAATTCTCCCACATAAAATCCGGATTCATCAGTTGGAAAGAAGCTAACATGATCAAGAGCCCCAGGTTTCCACCTTACTTCAACCGCTCTCGGGAGGATCACTGCAGCTACCTCTTCTGCCGAGCAGATGTGGCGCACCTTGAAGTTTACCGACGCCATCTTATATTCCGGTTCGGGCCGAGGTTCGGGCAGTCCCTTGTAATTGACCCATCTATGGAATGCGTCCATAATGAATAGGACCATCAACCCGCCCGCCGACCCTCGCAAATACCGGCCATAAGGTATGTCTGCACCGTTAGAGTTGCACCAGGAAATCCTGCTCAGTGCGCTCCATCGTTCTGCACTCACGTAGTTTAAAATTAAATATAATATTATATACAAATGTCAATATCAATGGTTGTCTATAGCTAGAGTAGCTCATCGAAGTTCGGACACCGTGTAAAATCGGACAGGCCTCCAGAGCGTACGATAAAATATCATTTTGTTATCTATATCTAGGATGTAGTGTTGCAAATGATAATCCTTCCTTCCAAGTTTGGAGGATTGACGCGCTTTTGTTGCGGAGTTATGCCCTCGACAGCCGATATTACGTAACATCGGACGTTTTCATCTACCGACGCACGCCCTGTAAATCTCCCTTCATCACGAAGCTTTCTGGAATATAACAACATCCAGTAAAAGCTTAGTTCAAGCCTCCACCTGCACTAAGATCCAGAGGAGTCGGCTTCACCTATAGCTAAGTATTTCCGCTTACTCCTCGTAGCATTACAGCTGCCTCGGCGATCTAAGGTCGGACACGTCTAGCCGCACGTGCGCATCAAACTGACCCGCGTTTGGACTCAATCCTTGCTTTGGAAGCTTAGCCAGCCACGGGCACATAAATATGCCCAGAGCGTCCATAAGTCTATAAGAATATTATAATTATATAGTCTATAATGCAGTACAGTGCGCTAATACTGTATTGTAACCCTATATAAAATTATTTCTTATGGACTTATGGACGCTCTGGGCGCTCTGGGCATATACGTGTCCCCGTGCTGGCAAAGGGTTAACACTTACGCCCATAGCAAGGAGGGAGTCCAAACGCGGGTCAGTTTGATGCGTATACGTGCGGCTAGACGTGTCCGATCTTATATCGCCGAGACAGCTGCAATACTACGCGGAGTAAGCGGAAATACTATAGGTGAAGGCGACTCCTCTTAGTGCAGGTTGGAGGGCTTGAACTAAGCTTCGTGATGAAGGGCGTCCGTCAAACGTTCGATGTTACGTTAATATCGGCAGTCGACCTTTTCGAGGGAATAACTCGGCAACAAAAGCGTCAATCCTCCAAACTTGGTAGAAAGGATTGTCATTTTCAACACTACTTCTTAGATATGGAATGACTAAATGGTAGTTTATCGTACGCTCTGGGCCAGTCCGAATATACATGGTGTCCAACCTTTGATGAGCAACTCTATGTAGCTACACTTTTGAGCTTCTGCGGTGAAGAAAGCTGTCCGTAGCTACGCCCTCACATTTCTCAGAAAACAAGTCTTCCCTATCACAAACCTAGTTTTTAATTCCTAAAGAGGCTTTCCCTTCTTGCCGATGGAATTTTTTGACCAGTTAGCAACAAATGATATGCAGTATTGCCTTGCCCAATACTTGGAGTTAGTAGTGTAGCTATAGCTGGTATAACGGCGCTCAGAGCGTTCCAGGACCCCACCCACTAACACCGTGGAAAATATATGGTATTGACCGTTGATCGATTCTAATCCCCTGACCATTTGAAATAGTTAGGCTCCGTTGGCCTAAAATTGTCTGCGTACGCATGCGCAGAAGTACGAGGCAGCCTCGCGGAGCTCAATCTGCGCGCAGGAGTAGGTCTGGAAGTCCTGCAAGACCGATGAAAGGCACTAAAGTACAAAACCCTCGGCGGCGTGGAAGGGCTACGCGTCACATCCGTGCTTCCACGCCGCGGGTTTTGCACTTTACTAAATTTAAGGGGGGTTTCCTGGTTGCCCGGAAACACCCCATTTCAGCCAGTTGTGGAGAGAGTTTGTGCCGACGTCGTGAACCTGACCATTTTTCCTTCGTGACACGCATACGCACGACTGCACTATGGAGGAACGGCTCCACGCCCGCAAGCGCATGCGTGCAATCTGACCCCCACCCCCACCGCGTGCGTGCGTTCCCTAATGCTCAGCCTTGTCTTCACGCTCCCAGTGACAACATGTGAATGCGAATGCAGCGTTAGTGTCCTTGGCCGCCTAAAGACATAACTTCGTTCTACTATGGGACATTCTAGACAAGTCATATCCCTTTGTGATAAGAACGAACACTCGAGAAGTGAGATGTAAAGTAACAGACACACACACGCACACACACACACACAGATTAACAGCATGGGAAGTTTTGACTTTAGTAGACAACATCCACAACAGGATATAAACAGTCAAGCCTGCCTGTAGTACTCAGGAGCAAGAGTGGAGAAAGAAAGAAGTGAAGAATAGAAAAGACCAAAGAAATGAAGCAAGTCATTGATAAGGATAGCTGGAATACTGGAGTATGTAACGTAGGTTAGTTTGTAAGTACAGCCATGTAGAAGGAAAATCTGGACTCCAACCAGGTGGAGTGGCCTCGCCCCTTCTGGAGTCTATATACCACATGTCGGGAGTTTAAAGAGGCAGAAACATGTGGTACATGATGAAATTTGGGGAACTCCCTGATGACCAGTTAGATACTGCGAAAAAGCTTTACCTGAATGTATTTATGATGCCAGAGGTGCTGCGGTTGCTGTTGCGTAGCTGCAAATATTTTTCAAAAGCATGTGTTTTTGCTCCACTCACACGAATGTGGACATAATAATATTATAGCTAAAAGGTTAGTGATGTCATAATTATGTTTACTCCTATATAGAGACATAACAATGGTAGCTATATAATAGTCAGCTAGATAGAGAGTTCACTTCAGTATAAGCAAGTCAGTAAAAGCAACCTGGTATATAGTCAATAAAACTAGGCTGAAGACTATCTGTATCTGTAATTGAGGTTTCCCTGTTTGGAAGAAAATAAGAATTAGATATATACATACGATGTGTAACATTGGTAGTGGTGATGGACTGTGTAGTGGTGTTGGTCTGTCTGTACTCATCAACCACTTCATCTTCCCGTGACTCCCAGGAGATGATGATGGAGAACTTATCAGGTTGGAAATTCTCTGTCTTCACCATCACATAAGGTGGAGGAGGAAGTGCTCCTACAGAAAATCACACGAAGAGTCACACAAACGAAAATATTATTTTTTTAATAGTTTTATAGATGACCAGGTGTGTCTGATTTCCGAGTATAACACAAGAGATGTTAGTTCTATTGGTAATGTCATCCACCGCCACCTCCAGTGTAGAGGTAAAGTCAGCAATCATCATTGTCTACTGAGAATAGAGTCAGAGTGTAGGGACGTTCTTCTTTCGCACCAGACTCTGGATCACTGGCAGTGAATCCATCTATTGCACCATTCTGGTCACTCCATCCCATACCCACAACTCCACTGGCAGTACAGGTGAGGGTGACAGTGGTGGCAGGACAGACTGATAATGATACCATCCTCAGATGATGGAAAGGAAGATCTGAACACCTACAGCTGTTTGTCAGCCATTCTAAACAGCAAAAGCACACATAGATTAACTTCTTGGCACACATCCTTTCCCACATCTTGCTGATTGCAGAGAGAGGGACAGGGAGACAGAGAGAGAGAGAGATTTTTAACGGGAGTCAAAAAACTCCGGAAGAGTAGGCGGCACTTTGTCCATTTTGTGTGGGGCATTGAGAAACACGCATTCGAACGTTTAAAATGCACAGGTTTTGATATTGGTAGTCTCATCAATCAGAGTCTTATATATTAATCTATGTGACTGCACTGGTCATCAGGGGAGTTCCCCATTGTTCATTATACATTACATGTTTCGGCTTCTTTATACTCCTGACATGTAATACACTCCCGAATGGCGCGAGGCCACTCCACCCTTTGGAGCCCAGCAGTAGCTATACAACTGTAGTTCTAGAGGGAGTGTACAACAGTCCTCTGGAAATCAGAGTCTCAGCAACCAACTGTGCAGGCACTAGTGCAGAGGTCACTGAGGAGGTCTTTGTTGGCAAGTTGTCTGACTTAGTGGAGAAATAAACTATTCAATTGGCTCTCTCCCTCAGCTGCATGGCTGTGGTCCTCCCAGTCCACCAGTGAATGACAGTGTTGGTGAGTTGACCAGTTCCAGGGTAGGAGCACAGGTCACCTACTCCTGTGACACCCACCTGGTTCTGGTGGGAGAGACTGTGGCCACATGCTCTCTCCCTTCTCTAACGTGGCTGCCTAATGTCACCTGCCTGTGCACAACCTCCAGGGCCTTTACGTAGAGCGAACTTACATGGATTGGTGCTATGTACACTGCAAACATGCTAAGGTGACAAATAAACGCCTGTTTGCAAAGTGAGAGATTGTTTGAATAATGGCACATAAACAGTTAATTATATTGTATATGGGCTTGGTTGGTGTCGTTAAATGTACAGTTATGCAAACTCAGAAGCACAGCGTTGTGGTGTTTACTGGGAATAGCAACAGGATGATAGAGAGGTTTACTATAATATACAGTGATAGTGCAAGTCCATCCACTTATTTTGCACCACTATACAACTGACACATTTGAGGCGATATATTTTAGGGTGGGTCAACTGGTCAACTAAGAAAGTCAGGGTTCCTGACGTGTTCATGGTAACCCCCACGATTGCCTCTAACCAGACTATATATATACACCCACACACACACACACACCGTCGGAGTTAACTTAACTCACCTACTCGTGTAGGATAGCCCCCAGTCCCACCACAGGTCACCTACACATTCACCCCTTAACATGGGCGGAGCCCATTGGGGATGTTGGCCAAAGCACTGGGTCTCATCGGGCAGGTGGGCATGTTAGGGGTATTCCCTCTTGGAGGTGGAGCCGCCTCATTTAGGCTCCACTCCTGCCCTGCCACCAGTCCTGATCACACCCCCGGAAAGGGGTGGAGAGACGGGAACCAAAAAAATCAGTAGCAAGAGATCACGATCTCGCACCGACGGCTGTATCTGGCCATAATGACGACCACGTGGTCGGTCCACCCAAAGCATGCTAGCCACCTACCAGTGCATGCTCCTGCTGGCTCTGGCCGCCGGCTCGTTAACCTCGGTTAACCTACCGTTAATTGTCATTTAACTCACCTCACCTTGTAGGATAGCTCCCAGTCCCACCCCAGGTCACCTACCGTCATTACATACAAATAAAAATGAAGCGGATGATATTCAGTTGATTATGAACAAAGTGATACCTTGTGACTTGGATTACAATCACTATATACCGAAAGTTCTCAATGACGTGGAAGACTCTCACCTTACATTAAGTGTCGTGTTTGTCTGGAATGCTTATCCTCTTCTCTTTCCTCCTCCTGCTGTACACATTATACATACACACACACACACACACACACACACACAATGGAGCAGGAAATTAATGTAGCAGCTGCTGGTTTATGTCGACTGTCATATGTACATATGTTGAAAGCAATGAAACACATGCAGTAGCCATGGACTACTTTTGAATGTAAAGCAGAAGCTTTGCTTATTTGATTCTACACTAATCCACCACAGCATCATAATCCAGGGTTTGTAGCCACGCTGAGAAAAACAAGTTAGCTACAGAAAAATAGGAGAATGAAGTAGGATCTTACGCTTCAAACTTATTACAACTATATAGATGCCCTCATTTAGCCATTCTGTAGCTAGCTAGTTAGCTTACATCTCTAACTGGATCAGCCGAGCCGACACAGTTGCCTTCTTTTTCTTTTTAGTCTTGTCCACCACAGAGTAAAGTGGAAAATATATCTGTTATCTGTCCGCTGAACTCTGGCGGGCACGTGAAAAGAAAGGTGGTATTTAAGTTCACAAATTGTACGTTTGAAAGTTTGTGTACAGGTGCTGCATGAAACATGTACTGTGTGCATACCTCCTGTTCCTGAGTATCTGGTGACGACTCGACAGGAGTGGGACCCTCCAAAACATGGTACATAATTATATGCTCTGATGGTGACTGTTCCTTCTTCTGTGTGTGGACATAAAGCTCCATTAGATGAGAAAAAAGAGAGCTGAAAGAGAAACACCTCTCTAGCCATCAGTTGGCGTGGGGTCCACGTCAGTGGAGCCAGGCACTAGGAGAGAGGTAGTTCTGAAGACTCTCATCTACTGACATTAGACTCCTCTGAGACTGGACCAGTGGAAATTGCTGTGACATTCTCTAGTGCTGTCTGTAACAAAACCACTGTCACCCACCAGCTACCTCAGTAAGACTGTGTTCTTGTCTTGTGCTGTGTGTGTGCCTATCTCCACATCTACTCTGCAGTCGAAGGAGTTTTGATTAGTGTGTACCTGAGATCCAGAACACCAGTCATAGAGAGCAGAGACTGTGTTGCTAGACCTGAGAATTATAATGCAGGATAGCAGTTTGCTTTGTTGACACTCCCACTCCACCGTTGGTGCTTGCTTTCAGTACGACTTAGGAGGTATGTAACAAGCTACAAAATCATCAGAGTGGAGTTAGTTAAGACAACATCCAACACCACTATTGGTGAGATGGACAGTTCAATCTTGTTAATTGTTCCTACTGCAACGAACCAGGCTTAGTTTATTGTTGACACTCCCTGCATAAAATATTTGATGGAGTGGTGGGTTAGGTGCGGCTGTGGCAGCTACAGACTCATACACCACAGTGCATGGGTGTGGCTGTGGGAGGAGTAATAGTTGGAGTGGCAATTAAAGTGCAAACCGTTGGCGAACTGCACATGCGCGATACTGCTAATTGATGGGCTGGGCTATTGTATACGTTTACTCGTGGTCTCCCACAAGTAGCCCGCGGAGAGTCTGACACGGACTAGCTACAGTAGTAGATAGCATGCGAGAATCGATACATGCCATTCGTTGTGATTTCCTGAGCCCCCAAGGTATATACACAGAGCGAGCGGATCAGGGTGCAGTAAGCCCAGCGAGATGATGCATATTGGCTTTTTTGCTTGTTTTCACGGCATATCTGTCGAACGCTATCGTTTCAGGAAAATCACCTTCTTTTTCAGGCACGCGTAGTTCTGAAGTCGCTGGTATCGCTAATAGGCCGTTTCGTAGCCTGTACATAGCGCGACGGCGCACACACAGACAACCCCTTTAGACTGCCCGTCACATAATATGGTAGTAGTCCGTACCCAGCCACTCCACCCGCAAAGGGAAGGGAACACCTGGTAAAATGATGCAAAACCTGGTCCTAAAGATGTCAAGTATCTGAACCATTCCGTATACGAGGCCCCGCAGTGGACTACGGACGCTGGATGTGGCATCAATGAGCAATTTTGTGATCTGATTGGAGATCTCAATTTCAGATCTAGAGTTAGCAGACCCCTTTTGCACGTAACGAGTAGGTGGAGTCTAGGAATGATACTAATACGAAGGTCGTTCTCAAGGTGCACTATAATGCTCCATAGTTTTGGGAAATAATCAGAGGCACCCTTTCACAAAACTCTCTCCACCACAATCCTATCGATCATGATGAAGTCTAGCCTCTTGAGCATATATATATATCAATATAGCTAGTTGAATTTCTGATATTCTGGACATTGTCTAACAATGGGTAGGTTGAGCTATGATTGGCCACTCACGCGCCCTCAGTGAACGAACGCAAATATGTACCCCTCGGCCTCACAATGCCCTATTAACCTAGTCTGGTGTAGCCTCCTATTTCATGCGGAAGGCTACGCCAGACTACTTATCGTCCCGAAGCGCCTCGGTGCCCCAAGGTCTGTGCGCCGTAGGCTATAGTTGTGATATATAGCAAAGTGGGAAGAGACGCTGGAATTGAGTCAGGTGATAGTATACTTAGAAACCACTAATGTGATTTCACCTGCGGAAACTGTCGGGACTTTCATATCAATCGTCGCCCGATCCCTTTTGCGTATATTAGTTGCTGCAGAAATGAAAGTGCAAACACTCGGCGAACTGCGCATGCGCGATACTTCTAATTGATGGGCTGGGCCGGCTATTTGTATGCGTTTACTCGTGGTCTTCCGCTAGTAGCCAGCGGAGAGTCAGACACGGGCTAGCTACAGTAGTAGATAGCATGCGGGAGTCGATATTTTGACTTCCTGAGCCCCCAAGGTACACAGAGCGAGCCCAGTGCGATTTGACTTTTTCGCTTGTTTTCACGGCATATCTCCTAATAATTAATTTTTTCAGGCTCCCGTAGTTCTGAATCCGCTGGTATATCGCTAATGGGCCGCCTCGTAGCCTGTTGATAGTGCCAGAATAAGCGTCGACAGACAGACAGAACGACTACAGTAACCGTCGCTGCGCATGCGCGCCGGCGCCGAGGGTAGGGAAAAAAACATCTTTAGCCGCAAGAACATCACCAACTGCTGCAAAAATGTGAAGTGCATTAGCTAGCTACTACAGCATTGTGGCTCCAGTTCCACTTGAGCATTCCTTGTGCAGGCCCCCAGCCTTGTGTAAATGCTAGAGAGCAGGTGTTAACACTTACTATTTGTCTATATGGTAGCCTATCTACAACATGCCCATGAACATCAGAGTGACTGTAACAATAACTGCAGTGTTGTCATAAGCTGTTAAAAATAGTGGAAACAAGTGGAAAACTCATTTCTTCAAAATGAAAGGGGGATATAGGGATGGCTTGAAGCACCAAAAAGTAAGAAACAAGGGGTCATTACACAGCAAAGTTGCACAAAGCTACATGATACCATCCCTATATCTTTGTTTTATTGTTTATAACAAAGTTAAAAACATTATTCTACATTCCAACGCTTACGTGCAACTGGGCTATTGATTAAAGGGAATCTAATAGGTACGGTTGTGGTTAATGGCTGACGTAAACACACAATAGCTATGCTGATCTTTTAGAACAATATTATTATGTACATTCCAAGCCCTCAATGCACTGAAGTGCAAATGCTCGGCGAACTGCGCATGCGCAATAACGCTAATTGGTAGGCTGGGTTATTAGTTTGTGTTTTACTCGCGCGTGGTCTCCCTCTTGTAGCTCGCGGAGAGTCTGACAAGGGCTACCTAGAGTATTAGATAGCATGCATGTACATATTCAACGCTTACTATTCGGGAGTCGATTTTGTGACCTGTCACAGTGGACAGAATGACAGCACACACACACACGCAGAGGAACTGTGGACTTACGCATGGGAGGTGTGATTAACACGTAATTAACTGATTCTTCTTTATCTGTTTATGGGCATCAAGTTATGTATATACAGGTTTTAAAATTATAGTTGGGGGTTGCCATCAACAGGAATAAGAAATGGAATGTAGATATTGACATTCTCTTTGTTGGTTATGCCTCACATTCAGTAAATTCTCTCTATGATAAACTAGAGCTTTCCCCAAAACAATTTGTGACCCTTTCGCTGACTAGATATCTGAGACACATGAAATTCTTAGTATCGCTCATTCTGACACAGACAATTATGCCACCATTATGTAAACTATACTTGACCTTGGATGTTGTGTAGGATTATTCTCTTGTGTAGTAATTGACACTCATGAGTGAGAACTCGCACATGAGCCAGTTCATAAGTCATGTCAGTCACTGGAAGGATGTGTCCACAGGCCACCACAGTTTTCCACAGGTGCCAGCCGTCAATGATAATGGGCTGGCTCCAGTGGTATTTGGCTTTCTCACTGCTCTTCAGTCCTCGCCATCAAAAGTGCCCGCTTATCATCTGACCTTTGGCTCAAGTCATCCTCCGTTTATATACTTTGTGAGAGTCATGTTTTTCCCTTCATTCAGTGACTGAACTATTTTGTTCCTTTTTCCTCAGAAACGTTTTTTATTTTCCCCTTCAGTACTTCAAAAAGTAGCTACTGCTAGAAATTGGAGGAAATGATAACACCAAGATACTTGTAATGAGTGACCAGATCAAGATTCTCACCATTGAGAGTCATGGTAGGGCAGTGAGGGGTGTGTCAGTAACATGCACTTGCACTTTGCAACATATATGTTCATGTGATCGACCTTGGAGCACTTAGAGCTTCTATCAATGTCTTGATGTACGACATGGCAACAAGGGTTTTAGACTAAGGGCTAGTAGAATAGGATGGAGTGGAAAGACTGACCGCACACACCCACACAGAAGAATTGCGGACGTACACATGAAGTAAAACCCATTCTACACTTTATTATCTGTTAATGGGAATCCAGTTACGAACCAGGTTACAAAGTACTGCAAATGATCTTATACTCACAATTGAATAAATTGTGGTTGATGATGAGCATCTAGTACCATAAACAGTACTTACGGTCGACACTAAGTTCGGACGGTAGAGCGCATGCGCGATACAAGTCGGGGCGAGCAGCATTATATAATTGCACAAAGGGAGCAGCGAGTGGCTGGTGCTGTCTCCAGATATGATTTGCCGTCTGTTCGTGGAGGGAGGTACCTCAGTGCAGTGGCTGGCCGTAATGCTCGCTCTTCTCCTGTCACCCGTCAGCTCATCAGGTATTATAGGTATATACAGCCACCAATAATCAGCCAGCAGTCTGATTGTCAGAAAACGATAAGAGACAAGAACTTGTAGGTAGCTCTTATATCTTCACTCCGAGTCCCATGGGCTTGTTACCGAACGCCCCGCGAGCGCGATCCGCGCATCCATTTTGCGAGTGACGACGAGGAGGCCGAACTCTAGGAACACCAACAGAGGAATCAGAAAAGCTGTAGCGTTTTCGGACAGGGAGGTTTGGCACCAAAAACGAGGCAGAAAGGCTGGAGGTGGTGTTATAGAAATCATGTCCGTATTTTGCAGACATCGTATATATAATTATATAGGTGTGGGTTTTTACACCATAGCTATATATAATTATGGGCCCAGATTGCGTTAAAATAGGCGGTTGACAATGGATTTTTGTCTGCCACTGCATACAGAAAAGCGCTTTACCTGGGGCAATGGGCAATGCTAATTTATGTAGCTTGCTCTTTTTATCTTCATAAAACGTGTCAGAAATAGATGACTCAGATTATCGATGACTTAGTTACTCTACAGCTATAGGCAGGCTGCATCAAGACCTTCGCTGCTTCAGGCTAATAGGTTTGGTTCAACTATATAGACTAAACCACAGTATGGAATCTCACCAAGATAAACAGATCAACATCCTACATGAGACTAGGTCTACCTTCTTTGTCACATAACTAGGCGTTAAAATGTAGCTAATAAAATTGCAGCCAATCGCGTCATGCATCATGTTGCAAGGACACACCAAATCCCACCCTATGTGACATATATAACACAAAATTATGTTGGCCTACACCGATACTATAGCTCTAGCTACATGGCAGTCGCGGCAAAGCCCTTGTGTATAACTACAAGCAAATTATAATTAACAGTTAGGTACTAAGTATAATTATACATATTATTTCACTGTCATGTGAGCTACCAAACCTAAACCTGCTCTTTTCTTTTGCTACAGTATGGTCTTACTCCCTCTCTTCTCTGGAATTCCTGGAGTTTGGCTCGTCCTCGGCTAACATCACTGGGTTACTTCTGTTGGGAAATGCAGTGAACTCTGACCCCATCCCCATCTCCCTACCAAATGGCTTCCCTTTCTCCAATGAATCTGAGTCTGTTGTTTATGTAAGTTTTACTATTACCTCTGCTTAGCTATATAGTTGCCTAACATGAAAGATCTTGTTACCCACTGCATAATAATGCTGGGCATCTAAATCTTCTATCCTGCTCTCTCTCTCTCCCTCTCTCTATAATTGGGCGAGCGGAGCGAGCCCTCCTAGTCGTGTCTTCGTACGAATTTTCTATCTTATGTCGTCGTCCTCTTAGTGCGCATGCGTTAATATTACGCGCTTCTTCATACTGTGCGGAATTTTTTCTCCATCCTCGATCTTACAGTCCGTCCTGTTGGCTTCGAAGGAATCCGCGGAGGATAGTGTTCTTGGTCGAGACAGAGAATCGTGTCTTCGGCTCGAATTTTCTATGTATGTATGCCCGGCCGTCGAAAGTCCTCACGACAGAGAGGCTCGTCCTTTTCAGGGATGAATACGAGATCGAGAGCGGGCAAGGCAACGATACTGCTTCTGATCCAAGAGGTAGACAGACAGAACGCCCGGCCTTCGAAAGTCCTCACGACAGAGAGGCTTGTCCTTTCAGCGACGATTAAGAGATGGAGAGGGGGAGCGGGCACATTACCTTTCCATTCTTCTGGTCTAGTTTCACTAGCTACGTATGCGCAAGCTGCCTTACTCAACCTGATATGACAACACCATAATAACTTCTGTTACTTGCTGAAACATTTTACCTGTAGGTACGTAGCTAGTAATGATGAAGGTTGTGTATTAAGTTCTCGCTCCGCTCGCCCAAAGAATGCCAAGCATTTCCACTAGTATAATTATATATATATATTGTTGTGTATACTGCACAGAGGTTTGCCTTGTGTTGTGTTTTGTTGTAGATTTGAATCCCTATCAGCTGAGATTGCCCTGGTAGCTCGGTTGGTATATAGAGCGCCCAACTAGAAAGCAGAGTGCCGTAGGGTACGAATCCCACCCAGGGGCAGCTCTTCTTCCTCAAAAAGAAGGATCTGTCCTGGGTATAGTTGACTTTTGCTTGCCTTGCGTTTCTATCTCGCTACCTAGTAGATGAGACATTCATAGCAGATGGTTATGGTTCCTTCTTACTCTTTCTGAACATGTTATGTGCATATGACCTCAGATTATCATTTTTGGTAAATCCCAGATGCATAGTTGTACAACCCGCGCACATGTAAATAGAACTGCATGTCCATTGGTATACGTACAAGTTTGGCAGCTCTTCCAATGAACTTATTATTCTCAGAAAACTATAAGGCTCAAGACTATTCATATGGAAGCACATTGGGCCTTCTAATTATAATCCGCGTAGATGCATCCAACAGGCTGTAGTCTCTCACTTCCCTCGTTGTGTTGATGTTGTTCTGTAGGTCAATATGAATGGGTTCCTGTCATTCAGAGCAGCTAGAAACTATGATAGACTGCCTGGGGCACTGTTCGGCATCACATCTCAATCTGGCTATACTCATATCATTGCTCCTTACTGGACTTACTATGACACCATAGAACAAGGTTATTAACCCTCGGCGCGCATGCGCAGCGAGGGTTACGGTACTTGTGTGTGTGTGTGTGTGTCTGTCTGTCTGTCTGTCTGTCTTCGTCATCTATCTTCTCGAGTGTTCGTTCGTCTCACAAAGGATACCACCTACTGAACGGGCAATGAAGGTCAAACATTTCAAACGGTTTTCTCTGAAAACGCTCCGTTGCAAAGCTAGAGCGGGAAAAAGCCAATATGCAAATACACAACGGCTTACTACGGCATGATCATCCGCGTGCTCTGCGTACCTCGGAGGCACCAGAAGATGCAACGAAGGGCGTGTATCGCCTCTCGCATGCTATCTAGTAGTGTAGTTAGTCCGCGTCAGACTCTGTGTGAGCTGGCAAGAGACCACGAGTAACAGCTAAAACTAAACCCAGCCTATCAATAATTAGTGGTACGGCGCATGCGTTTACTTACGCGCGCGCGTCACAGTGCGCCGAGGGTTTGCACTTCAGTGCTTTTCATTATTGTTAGAAGTATGGTCAAACTTAATACCTCAGACGTGCGGCTCTTACACTGCAGATCACATCAAAGAAATGAACAATGCCACAACATTATGCATAATGCAGCGTGTGCAATGCTTGCACGATTCCTCACAGTCATATTATTATGTATTCGCTAATTAAATCCCCTACAGCATTCCATCTGCACATTAGGTCCGTGCTGCAAGCATGTGCAATAACTCATGCGACTACTTATTTCAACTTTTACTCAGAAATCAGAAGCTACATGAGTGATAAAATATCAGACTAAGTCATGTTTCAGTCGTCAGTCACAGGCTTTATGCACTAACTGCAACAATCGCGGAGGGCACTTTGCACACCCATAGCACCGAGGATTCAGGCATTGCAACCTCTGTTTCGTTCACAAAAAATACTCTTCCACATCTCTTGCATTCTAAGAAAGATCATGTGTATATACAGTAAACCAGTGTCGAAAGAGCTTATAGCGATCATCTGTTTTGCTGATGACATATTATAGCACAATAATCTTTTGTCTTTATGAGTTTCCCTTATTAGTGTGTGTCAGTAATAACTAGGAGCATGCCCCAACAGGCCAAGTGGCATATGAAGTACACACTACTGGAAATCTTCTGGAACAGGTCAACTTGGAAATTAGTCAGGAGCTCGGTGTGCTGTTTGAAGGAGTGTGGCTACTGGTAGTATACTGGAAAGCTGTCGGAACTCCTTTGCAAGTTAGTAAGCTTGACTTTGCTAGAAGGTTGATTACCTTTGTAAGAAAGAGAGAAGCAGTAGTTTAGTGCCCCCATCTGTAGCTTCATGCTTTGTCAAGCTGTGGTGTGGAATTAGAGGGGAAAGGCTTAATGGTCATTTTCTTATGGAGAAGCAGGGAGATCAAATGACGTTGTTATGGACATTGCTTCCCTATATTTCAGATCGGGAAATAGAGATATATCCTCATTGAAGGGTGTTCCTTAGAAGGGTTTTACTGTAATGCACACATGCATTTGGCAGTACAGTAAGATTCATTTTTCGAGAAGGAAAGAGTTAGGTAGGACACTTTGATCTTTTCCTGTCACAGTCAAACAGCTATCAGGCGGTGTTGGTGACAGACGGCCACAAGTCCTTCTGTCTCTTCATTTATAACTGTGACCTTCTCCAGACACATGGGGTTGCCATTGGCTTTTCAGCCTCTGGTAACTTCTCATTCAACCACCGAAAGGCTAACACGTACAGTTCCAATGAGGTTGGCTGTAGCAACAGACCTGAGAGTGACTGGAATACTCTGGTCTATGCATTACACTATGATGGTAGGTATATTACAATTGAGCATGACCTAGCTATACCTTTTGTTCCCACATTGCCTATGATACAAGGCAGATGGACACAATGCCACGGGGCTAAAAAAAAACTGCTCTCTGAGAGTGAGAAACTAAAGACACCCAGACGTTCACACGACAGACGGTGCTTACTTCACTCTGTAACAAGATAGCATTTTAAAATCAGTGTGCCTGAAGCATATTAGCTTTTTCAGCTTCATTTGTGCATAGCTACCTAAGAAAGAGAGATGCAATAGGATCTTGGCTATATAATAGTAACCGATCAATCATCTTTAACATAGAGGAAGTGGAGGAGCTGCAGAGTATTATAATAGGGTGAACAAAGCTACATCTGTGCTTCCCATGCATAACTCACATGCAGATGATCTCACACGCTTATAGAGTCGATTACTGTAATTATCACGCACTTGCCCTGGAAGTTGAGAGACTGTGGGTTCGAGTCCCACTGGCAGAGCTAGTGAATTCTAGCTACTTATCTTCCTTTCCTTCACTCATCACTATTATACCATGCCTTTCATTGATAGTGAGACGTGTAGGTAAATCTGGGCAAAGAAAGCTGCACTTATAATGAACAAGTATTGAAGTGCAAACCCTCGGCGAACTGCGCATGCGCGGCCCTGCTAATTTACGGGCTGCGCTATTAGCATAGCTGATTCGAATCAAACCAATCAGATTTGTTAGTACGAGGTTCCTGATTTCTCATAGAACCCTCGTGAAGTAACATGAACATGATATGAATCCTGGTTTTTTCTGTTGATTTTCAACAATTACAACAGAAGAAAATGTATCCCGCAAAACATGATCTGTATATACAAAATGTTGATAAAAATAACTGATATCTTGATTTTATTCTTCCACAAGACAGTTTCCTGTGTCTGCTTTGAGCCCACCTCCCTCCTTACCATGTAAATAGGTAGCCAGGCAGCTCACGGCCGCCCACAAACCGCCGCACGCAAATAAGGGGGTAGGGCTCCACGAGCTGATTTTCTTTGCACTAAACATTATACTCGGGATATACCTGATTTCAACAAGTGGAAAAATCATTTAAAAGGGGATATAGGGATGGCTTGAAGCACCAAAAAGGAAGAAACAAGGGGTCATTACACACCAAATATGCACAAAGCCACATGACACCATCCCTATATCTTTGTCTCATATAAACTTTGCTTACAATGAAAAGCACTGAAGTGCAAACCCTCGGTGCATTGTGACGCCCGCGCGTAAGTAAACGCATGCGCCATACCACTAATTGATGGGCTGGGTTTAGTTTTAGCTGTTGCGTGGTCTCTTGCCAGCTCGCGCAGAGTCTTACGCGGGCTAACTACACTACTAGCTAGCATGCGAGAGGCGATACACGCCCTGCGTTGCATCTTCTGGTGCCTACGAGGTACGCAGAGCACGCGGATGGATCATGCCGTATATAGTAAGCCGTTGTATATTTGCATATTGGCTTTTTCCCGCTCTAGCTTAGCAACGGAGCGGTTTCATGGAAAACCGCACATAATTCCTAACCTTCATTGCCCGTTCAGTTAGGTGGTATCCTTCGTGAGACAAACGAACACTCGAGAAGCGAGATGACGAGTAACAGACAGACAGAGACACACACACACACACACACACACACAGACCCAATGAAAAGCACTGAAGTGCAAACCCTCGGCGCACTGTGACGCGCACGCGTAATGCGCCGTAC